TGAAACACAACCATCGCCACGAGACCATCCTCTTGACCCACCCTCCCCAAACAACCACGTTCCGCTTCTCAAAGCGTCGCTTCGCGCGTGGAACGGGCTCGGACGGCATCACTTCCGGGCGAGCGGGGAGAACCTGGCAGGGCAAACAAGCTGAAAACGGAGCTTTGCTTCCTATATTATAGCGATCCCCAAACAAATAGAGCGGATGGCGCGTTTTGTTCTCAGTCAGGCAAAAAGATAGATAGAAACAGTTTTCAGGCAACATTTTTAAGGAGGGGATCTGAAGCGGACTTCTATCGATGACACGGGGTCTATATAAACGCAAAACGGGCGGCCTGAAGACATTTAAATAATCTTCCATAAACTTAGACTAAGAGGGACGATTTGTTGACCCCGTGTGTGTCGTGTGCGATTCAAGTAACTGTCTATCTTGGTTTCCGGGTTCTATCTGCAGATCATCTTTAACTTACCCCGCGGGAAGTGTAGAAACAACCAAGTGGCCTGCAATCCCTCTACAACCAGTTTTGGTGATCCCCAATCTAGAATCTAGACATCTCTCCCGATGTAATCTCCAAGATCTCTTGTGGCAAAGGCATGCTCTTGGTTGTTGGCAAGCAGGAATTGGTGATGCGGCCTGTCCTACAGTCCCCATCTTTGAAATAGAAAAGGAAGGATGCCCCAACGGCGTCAGCCAGTGTTTAGGAAAGAATTCCAGAGCAGCTGTGTGCCAAGTACTTTGCCATGTCCATCACCAAGGACCTATAATCAACAAGCCTGGCCTCCCCTTCAGTGCCAAGCCAAGCCGGTGCACCTCGCTGCGAACCTCGTTCCTATGAAGCCATAGCCGCATTTCGCCTCTTCGCCTTGTTCACTCGCCCCCGGTGCCCGGTTTTGGCCGCGCGGTGCCTGGGGCCAGCGATGCATCGGCGGCTGCGACCAGCTGCAAGTCGATGGGCTTGTCGTGCCGATGCGACACCTGGGGCGGTGAGGCAGTAGCAGAGCTCCCAACGAGCGGACGCACACGTGATGAGTGTCCGTGTCGCCGGAGAGACGAGCTCAAGCGCAACACCGCGGTGTGTGGCCGGCCACCAACGCCTTGTTGAGGCATCTAGAAGTACTAGCCATAGCTCACAGGTCGTGAGCATTAAAACCATAATAAGGATCTATACAATAATTAGAAGTTAAAACCTGGTACAACAAATATGGACATGGAAAATAGCTGGTTCGTAGAGCCACTGGTCAGACCCCAGGGCCTAGTGATTTCCACAGTCACTTCCATGTCAGTGGGAAGTAAGTGTATCCCTGGGAGTCCGTGGATGGTTTCGTCGTGTCGTTCGTTCGCTTCTATCAGCCCCCCCCTCCGGATTTACCAGGACCATATCATTCAACGTCCCAAACCGACCCACAAACCACAAACCGGCCTGTGAACTCCAAAAAGGTCAATGGGTTGCCCACTGCCAGACAGTGAAATCTAGAGTTCCTTCTGCCACCCCACCAAAAAATAAGTCCGAAAGAGACTGTCCTAGAGTGGTCAACAAGGCTCCCAGCCCAAAACAAAAAGACCCGCTGACACCGGGTCACCGTGCTTTCTCTATCACTACGACCTTGATAGAAATGGCATGACATGGCTATCAGGGCCATATTTATCATCTTTAACTACCAGGATACCGACCGGTTGACCTACTGACCGGTGCCTACCCATCCCCCAAACGGTTCGCCTCAACCGTTTGCCTCTCCGACCCTGGCGCCCCATCCGCGCTGGTGACTGACGCGCGGGCCGCTCGCGTCACCGAGGGGCTCGAGGCTCGGCCACACTGCGAATGTGGTTGAAGACTGAACCCTCGAAGATCTTTTGCACAGGACCCCTGAGCTGACGCGTTTTTGGTGAGACGCGTTTTTGGTGTTTCGACGAAGAAAATAGGTCTTCTTTAACATGTTTTAACCTTTTGGCCACCAGGTCTTCTTCAGTGGGGTGATCCCAATTCCAAAAAAAAGGTTCAAGGTTCTCATTTTTTCCTGGCTTGCAATAAATGACAAACGCTGAGTTGGTGGCTAGTTGGTGGCTTCGGTGATGGACGACTGGGTGGACGGTTTCGTGGTTGGTTGTCCTTGTTAAGGGTCACTGTGCCACCTCTGGCTTAAGACGAGTTCCGAGTTCTGTATAACAAACCCGCATACTCCAGGCTCCAGGAGTGGGACATATGTCCATACCCAACAGGAAAAACTGCAACGCTCAGAACATGCACAAACAAGATTGACAATTTGAGAGCAAGCCCCGACACCTTGGACCAAACCCAAACACCTTAGACCCAAACAATGTTCATCACATGTTGTTCAACAAATGTTTAAATGCCAACACTGCCAACACTGGTGGATCACTCTGAACGAAGAAGAGTGGCTGCCAATTACGGCTCTCAACGAATGATATCTTTTGACAAGCTAGCTAATTGGGAACACCCTGTAAAGAAGGCAGCAGCTGTTTCAAGCTGGCTGTAACACACAACAGTAACTGGTCAGTCAACATGGACAAACAAAGCTTCTTGCCCAATGATAGCCAAGAGTTTCCACAGCAACTCTTGTGCCATGTTTGGCCTCAGGTTTTTGGATTCTTTCGACATCTGCAGGCCTCAACCTCAGGTATACTCTGACTCACCAACATGGAAGTGGAAAATCACCTTGTTCAGAAAAGAAAGTTCAATCTTCCAAGGGACGATTTCCACTTCCATGATCTTCCAGTGAGTCAGAGTGTACCTTCCACTGTCATGAACTTCGACTGACGCAACAAGAGGTGGCTTGCGACTGACGATCGCGCCAACAGGGCTGGACATTGAGTGTGCCGGCTCCACACGGCTCAACCACGTGGCAACGCTGCCAACGACATCACGATCCAGACATCACGATCCAGACATCACGCTCACGTCCGACCGAACGTCGGTTTGCGCGACGAAGATGCGGGTTCCTTAGACGACACCTGTGCGGCACCCGGGCCGTCCGCAGAAAAACACCGCATCCGCAGCTGCGCGAGCGAAGCGAGCAGCGGAGAACAGACTGCAAGAATCAACATAAGAGTGGGCGAGCATGGGTTGCAAGAGCAACCGGGCAAAGTAGGGAGATCAAATTAACGCATGGCAAAGAGAACAAGTCAGTCAGCAAAAACCCTTCAACAACTCCAGAATCCTCACTTTGGATATCTGCGCAACAATTCTCTCTTTATGTGCAGCCTAGGGAGCATGTTAAGAGTCAACAGTTCCGTTCCCGACATGTCAGCTTGTGTTGCCTCTGGCTCCACACTAACCCTTGATCCTCTGTGCAACCAACTGCGCAGCGAGCGCACAACAATACAGGGAACAGATGCGCCATTGAGTGGGCACTCAACACAATGTACAAAGCTTGGTCCCAGGCCTGGCACTTGGTTACTTGGTCCCAATGCTTCAGGAGCACCGGAACTTGGCAAAGGCCGGGACACCGCAGTTCCTGAACAATTCACCAACTTGAATCTATCGTTCGTGCTTAGCATGGCAAGCGCAAATGGCAAGCCTTGGTGTTGGTGGATCGAAACATGGCTACGGCACCGGCACCGAGCTCTCAGAACCACTGCGTGACATGATCAAACTCCATGTAATGTGTTGGTATGCCCTTCGCTCCCCTGCCGGCCTAAGCCAAAACCTCTTCTATCACCCCCCCCCATATCCACAATCACCAGTCATCGTCCGCGAACCCGCCACCAGACCCGCGAAGCTGAAAAAGAACGTATCAAAAAGAACCCAGACCATCCATGTATGGCATGTTTGCATATATTTGCCGATCACTTGGGTTGTTTTGGTGGATCAATGTAGGCATGTATTCCATTCCGCTGCTCGTTCACTCAACTCAAGGTCTCGCATCGTTCACGTGTCCCACATCCGCTGCTATCAAGATCTACCAAGCCACAAGATGGTGGAGCTACTGGGGCCCAGTCCCTCCTCGTTGGTGCTAGTCTTCACCAATCGGATTACCTCACCGAGAAGCACCTGGGACGTTGCCAAGAAGTTTTCAGCAAGCATCTTCTCACCCGTTCACATGCTGTTTCGTTCTGGCATGCACATGTGGGCAACATGCCCCGTGGGGCACACCCCTGGGCCTCTTGGGAAATAACGTGAGTGAGCTTGCAACCTTTCACTCCAAAAAGCGGATGATGATGATGATGATGATGATGATGATGATGATGATGGTTGTGTCGGTGCTGGTACTTTGAATAGGACAACCCATGAGCCACGACCCTCCAGTCCTTGCAGTGTTTTCCGTCTGATCCTCGCGTCGGGGTTTCCTCATCCGCGATGCTTAACAAGAAAATCCCATGCCGGGTTCGGTGGGTTCGCGGCCAACTAGTACCCTCTGACTCACTGACACTGACATGGAAGTCAAAAATGCCCTCTTGAAAAACTACTTTCCTACAAACTTAGGGTTTTCCACTTCCATAATTAGTGAGCCGAAGTGCAATTCATGAGAATTGAGAAGAATTCCACATCGTCTCACCGCGGAATCATGGTCCGAATACTATAAAGCGAGAAGGTCAACAAAACTGAAGATAGACTCTCCTGGAACTAACATGGAAGTGGAAAACCCTCTGTTTGTAGAGGAACAGGGTCTTCCAAGGGGCCATGCCATCCACTTCCATGTTACTTCAAGGGAGTGTACTTTCTCATATCTAGCACATCAGCATGAATGAAAGAGTTCAAATGCTGGACCCTCCCCCTTCTAATGGCCAAAGGTAGCACAATTGCCTCATCCCGCATACTTGCCAAGTGTGGAGGAAAGTTCTTTGAAGATAGGGGTGCACGGTATAATTCTAAGATTGCATCAAATATTCCCAAGTATATATATGGAAACAATTGCACACATTCCAAGGACCCGCCTGCTTTGCGACACTGAGCCAGGCCTTTTCATCGCTCACACCGTCCTGGTCTTGGTCGTCCTTGTCTTCAACGACTCGTTTCCGCGGTGTTTGAGAAACAGTGGATCTACAAGGTGAAACTGCGGATAGAGAAACTGCGCATGATCAAGGCATCTTCCTCAGCTGCGGAGCGCGTCCGTGGCGACACCGACAACAACGCTGCGACTCGGGAATTTGGTGGTAATCCATCTATGGTTATCTTCTGTCTCTCACCACAATTGTATCAGGTGTGAATATCCATTTGTCCAACATTCCTTCGCACAGAAACGGAATTTCTTGGCCGGAAACAAACTTACTCTTGCAAAGCTGTCACAAGCCTGATTAACATGGAACCTGAAAACCACTGGTTTGGAGGAAAATTGTCTTCCAACTTCCCAAGGGTCCATGTTCAGGTTCCACGTTCATCTTCCCGAGTGCAAATACTAATATATATTCCAAAGGGTATTGGGAAAATCTGTTCGCACACCCAAGAAGGCTGACAAACTATGAAGGCTGCAGGCCTTTCAAGTATCCATATCCAATGAACCACTTATATATGAAGAAATCCAACATCGCAACACAAACACACATACACACACAAACGCACACATCCTTCTGTCTTTGTCCTTCATCGATCAGGACTGGTACTATCCTACCCCTCAAGTTAGGACTTGAGAGAAATGATGGGGTGAACGATTACGGTAGCTACCATATGTCATGGTCTTAAAGCAAGGCACTACCCTTACTCTCCCTGGAACTAACATGGAAGTGGAAAACCACCTGTTTGTAGTGGAAAATGGTCTTCCAAGGGGCCATTCTCCACTTCCGTGTTAGTTCCAGGGAGTGTAGTTCGATGAATCTGCAGGTGAGTCTCCACAGCTTTTGGCTGTTCTCTCTTTTTTGGTGCCTTCGCTCGCGTAGTCAAGATCCGAAGCGGCAGCACCACAGTGGAGAGCTGGAGGAGGGACAAGAAGCCGTTCACAGGCACAAAGCCATGCTGGGCTGCCAAGGCCGCGAGAGGTTGAACGGCCAGATTGCAAATGCCAGAGATTGTGAATATAAGGCCTCAGTTTGGCAGTTCGTTTGGGAATCATAGAAGGGCTTGTGCCAGGCATTATATGCCATATGTTGCTGGTACATGTGGGGGCATCCTCTCGATTAACCAACCCGTCTATATAGTAAAAACCTTTTCCATCTATGGGCCATGGGCCTTGGCAGTTGGGGATCGTCACTCCACCTCAGTTGCAACGATCATGAGGAATTCAACCCAGCCGCCCCAGATATCTGAAACACATGGTTCTTCTTTGGGTATATGCCATTAGCAGGCCCCAGTGGATGAAGATGGACGGCAAAGACCTTTCCCAAACATATGTATTATATATATATATATTAGCGACTATTGACTCTTGCTGGTAATGATGCACACCCTTGCTATTCCGCAATTGGCATAATTTCCACTTCCTAGCAAAACTGTGCTTGTTTGGGTCACAACAGCGTTCTTGCACCGGATCTTGAGAAGCTGTTGGCCCTCCCTGCTGTGGAACGCGGACAAAAACACCCGTAGCATCCCCTAGCCAAGAAGCCAAACACGGTACCAAAGTGAGTGAAGCCAAAACGTTGTCCACCTTACATCTTGGTGCGCTGCAGCACCGCGTTTTGACACGGTCAAGCAAACTCTCCACAACTCTCCTTCCAAACAGTTGCTATGTCTTGGGTCTATCCTAATACCTGTAACAGTGGATGATGATGGTTAGTAAAGGCCTTGTTTACTGACTGTTACAGGTAAGTTCGGACAGACTCTAGCTATGTCCAGGATCCGGTTTCCCGCCGAAACACCAAAAACACGTGTCTTGCGAGCTGTGCACGTTTTGCTTGATGTGAAGCTAGGCCACAAAATGCCGGGTTCAGTGAATAAAACAAAGGCCGACAGAAGGCGAAGACCATGAAAGCGCCAGTGGCAAAAATCTTGCCGTGACCAGCATGAAATGCCCAAAGCAGTAATGCAAAGAGTCCTTAGGGTGAGGTAGCCATGGCCATAATTATAGGAGCTGGACGCCCCCCAAAAAAACAGTCTTGCTATTCTTGTTGCATGAACCTTTCCTTGGCCCAGAGCATGCACCCAAATGTTCACCGCTGCTTCGTGCTTTTTGGCTGGTAGAGGCGCGTTCCCACATGTGATTATCTGAGGGTTTTATTGGGTGCACTCATATGCACTCCCAGGTCTTTCATGATGTTCAACTTTGGCACGTCCGGGCACATCCCAATGCAACAAATAAATCATGAGGAATTCGATGCTTACCCATGCTTACCCCAGAAATTTGAAATGAACAAATTGCAATTCTTTGGGCATATCCCAGTACCAAGAACATTGGATGATGACGGATAGTAAAGATCCTTCCGAAAAATAGTGATATTCCTGACTGGGGTTTTGTTCATGCCTGACTGGGTCAAGTCCCAGTTGCATGCCAGGCCAAGTCCGCAAACCAGTTGTGGAACATGAAGTGGAACACTTGGTCTCGGCCAAATTGGAGATTGGTCCAACGGGGCGGGAGAGCCAACCGGTGTTCCGAACCCTCTCTTCTGTGCCTCCACACGACTGCAAGATCTAGAGAGTGGTACGATGTGGTACAATGTGGTATGTATATGCTGTATATATATATATGTGTGTGTGTGTGTATGTGTGTGAGTATGTCCCAAACACTCCATGTATGCCATATATGAGCCTACATTGGGGTGGTGTTGGGGGTCAATGTAGGCATTTATTGCATACATGGAGTGTCTGGGTACATATATAATATATATATATATATATGTGAATCATGGATTGAGAGTAGATGGCACAGACCCCAATGTCGGTGGGTGATTATGGACCCTTATCCATCTGTCTAGCACATGATGGGGTCTGCGCCAAACCTAAACTCTGAAACTACTGTACATGAACAGTTCTCCATGACATCATCATCGACTCAAGGCCTCCGACGCGTCATGGGGAACCTCATGAGACCACCCACACGTCCCCAGCGCCAGGTGATCAACATGGCCGATATCCAACTGATCCGACTGGCCGCTGCATAGGGCAAATGCGACTTCAAAGAGTTTCACAAAGGTAACCAATACTTATAAGGGCCAGGGTCGGGTTTTCTGAAGATACTAAAGAATCCTGAATCCTCAAGTATCAAGGATCTTCAGTTATCTTCTTAAGGCTGGACAAAAAGATCTCCAAGTATCCATAAGCTGCCTGCAAGATCAAAAAACCAATGGTTGGACCCAACTGGTCTATGACGATGCCGATCGCCGGAATGAAAACGATGCCCCCTGCAGGTAGAAGTGCAGCGAACTCTGAGTTCAAGAATGTTGCTTCCTCTTCTGAAGTCGAGTGCATTTGTGGGTACACGGTCGCGATGAAGAAGTTGATGCAAATCATTGTCACAGAAGCCTTGATTCAGCAAGCTCATGGCAGCGAGACAAACCCGATTCGGCAAGCCACTGCGACGGTGAAGAACTTAAGCAACTTGTGCATCCCCAAAGTGGACCAAAGATCTAAAACACAACTCGTCCATTAAGTTTAAAGGTTTATTCGGGAGTACACGGGTACAGTATTTGATGGTATTTGTGTTGTATTTGATGGTATTTAGCCGCTGGGGTTCAAACTGCCCCAAAGGCTGGGGCACACGGGTGTCCGGGGCCGGTAGCGCACCCCCAAGGTGTGGGTCGGTGTCCACAAGGGAGTGCCCACAAGCACCCCACCCTTGGACGTTTGACCTTTCGTTCCTTTGATCCGTTTTGGGTTCCTGTGCCATGGCGGGTGATGATGCTGTGACACTGGCAGATAGCATCCTTAATGATCCGTTGAGAGCCGATGTGAAGTCAATCTTTTCTGGCATTGCTGGGTCTGGACCAACGCTGTCGATTTGGCTCTCGCATCCTTGTTGCTGGGGAGGTCGACCTAGTTGTGGGTGACATGGTGACAATTGGGATTTTTCCATTCAAGCCCTCCGTTGGGTTTGACCGTGGGATTTCTCTGGACACGAAGATGACTGTGAAAGTGCCACATTTGGCTGCTCGATCCATCAGCCTATCCACAGGTGTGCATATCCTTTGTGCAGGAACTCCAGCCTGTAGTCAGCCTGAGTTCATTGAGTTTGAGGACGACGCCATCATCACGTTCCGTTCAGAGTTTGACAGGCTCATGCCTTGGAACATGTTCCACAGCTTTTCTGGGGCTTTCTCAGGATGGGCTCAAGCTGCGGATTTCCTGGATCGAACCGAAGCTGCTTTTTGTTTAGGCCAGGAGTTTGAGCTTGACATCGACGAACAAGTGATGCAGCTGTGGAGTGTGAAACACAGCTTGATGCCCCTGAAGTGTCCCATCCATTGGTCCACACCATGGCCCTCACAACGACATGTGGGCTTGCATGGTTCCGTGGCTGATTGGACACTCGCGAACGTGATTCGTGTACAGACAAACTTGTGCCTTTCCATGTCTCCGCCTTGTCAATCGTGGTCCAAAGGTGGCAAACACCTTGGCCTGGCTGACTTGAATGGGTGGTCTTTTGTGGATGCCATCCAGTTGGCAATGGTACTTCAGCCAGACGAAATTGTGGAGCATGACCACTTTCGATTGGTCGAAATGCTCTTTCAAATTCTAGGTTGCAAGAAGGTCTGGATGCAAGTGACCCCGTTGCATAACATGTCACACCATTGTCGAACTCGATGGCTTGCTGCATGGTGCCGATTTGACACAGACGCCCAGTTCGTTGGATTCACATTTCCGTTGAGACACTCTCCTCGTTGCCCGTGGGATGACCCGTCAAATCATCTCAGTGTGCCTCAGGTGTGGCGACCGCAGCTCATTTTAACTGCATCGGAGTGTGCCATTTACAACGACCCCAACTTCTTGCCCCGCTCAGGGAAAACCAAGAATGTGAATGAGTGCTCAGCTGCTAACCGAACTTTGTGGGAAAGGGTTCCTGCCACGGATCAACCCCTTCCGACATTGTGTGCCTCGTACACCACCCAACACCTTCTTTCGAACAGACACATCCAGTTGCGTGGCCTTTTCACCTTCTTGAGGAAGACTGCTGCGGGTTTTGAGTTTTTCGATCCAGGACAGTTTTGCACCCTTTTTGGAACGCAGTCACACATTGTCCTGCCAACTAAGGTTCCCGAGGCTTTCCGAATTGTTGGGAATGCTATCGCTATCCCTCATGCTGTCCTTTCGTTAGGAGTTGTCATGCATGCTGTTGGCCAGATGTCAATTGATCCGCTGCATTTGGTTCGAAAAAGTTGGGTGACCCGATGCCAAGCTCACAACTCCGTCATGTTCGAACACCGAGGATATGTCCATATGATCCGAGCATCAGATGCCCACGAATGGATTTCTGTTGAGTGCAAAATGCATCAGTCTCAGGAGCATGCTTTCTGCTGTGAGGGGAATCTCCAGGCTGTGGACTTTTGCCTATTTGCCACTGCAGAGATGCTAGCCTTTGATTTCATGCTGCAGCATTTTCATGGTCCTCATGAACTCGTCAAGCAAGTCTATTTTCGAGCAATAGATGCCAAATCAAGCATGACCATGCCGGTAGGCCTCCTCGCTATGCAGGAGCAAGATTGGGAGCTTGTTCTTGCTTCTGTGTGTATCGGCCGGTGTAAATTCACCCGTCTTGACTCCACTAAGGTCATCGAGATCTCTCCGACAATGCCATTTGAAGCTGAGCAGATTGTGCACATCAATCACCCACCTGAGTTTGACCTCATTGCACACAGCAAATGGTTTCGCACAGTTTCTGATCTCTGCAAAGATCTTCGGATGGACAGTGGCAATCAGGCTGCTTCTCTGGTGATTTTGCAAGCGGATATTGGATTCCACTTTCAATGTTGGGGTACAATGGATGAGATTCAGAAGACTGCGAGGTGGATTCAATCACAGATTGGAGGCAAGATTTTCCCATCGTGTGGGTTTCACACTGGTGGCAACCACTGCACCCACCTTGTGATTCCATCAGACATGCAAGACAAGCGTGTTGTGTACCTCGCCGATGCAGGGACATTTCATCTGGTGCAGATTGATTTTGCTTGCCCCAACAGCATCATTTTCAAGCATGCCGATCAAATCCTTGAGGCCAGTGACCCAATCACAGTCCATACTTGGCCGATGGACCAGGTGATCTCTTTGACGGCGAAGACTCTGACTCATGCAGGAGGCCACCAGGAGGCCAATGGCCCCCCCCCGAGACTCGCTCAAGGAGCCAATTTCAATCAGCGAGCGGAATTCATGTGCAACACAAATGGGTGGCTAGCCACTGACGAAATGATGGCTATGACTCAGACCATCCAGTGGAGTCAGCGAACTCATCACTTTGCAGCTCCGGTCCTTTGGGACCCATCGAAGCCAGATTTCGAGGATGATGGGACTGAAATCCACATATTCAACAACTCCATTACCGTGATTCCGATCTTGTTGCGAGCTCATTGGGCTGCGTGTGAAGTCCATCGTCACGGAGATAGAGCCGAGGTTGTGATGCTTCAAATGCCGCAAGATTGCATTTCCCGTGCTACGCACATCATCGCACGGTTGCTTGATATAGCTCCACATCGGATTGAAGTGCGTCATGAGCTCACCGGCTATGTGCCACATTTGTGTGGATGGACCTTGCTCCAACGGTGGTTTGAAGACTTACAACTTCTCGATGAAATCACTGATGTTTCTCGGCAGTATCCTCTTCCGGTCTCCTATGTGCAGACAATTGAAATGTGCCTACAGTGCTCCATTGAGGACTGGACATCAAATGGGATGCCTCATCGACTTGGGTACTTGGCTGTCCGGCTCCGCAAGAATTTTCTGTGGTTTCTGGCAAGGCGACACAGCATTGGCCAACCAGTTCAGCAACCTGCACTTGTGGTTGGGATTCCAGAGCCTCCACATCGTGCCATCATTCAGATGCCTCCTGCTCAGCAGTCTTTGTCCGAGCGCATTACTGCCAGATTGCAGGTCTACCATCAGCACCCAGGGTGGGCTGTGTCAGATGAGTTGGATTACACACTCGAGACTCTTCGGCTCTATGAACCACACACTCTCTTTTGTCCTCCTGCTGAATGGGATCATCAGAGTGGGCAACTCCGGTTCCTCAACGGGCTTCATCCTGTGTATGAATCGCATCGACATGTCGTTTGGTTCATTGCTTCTCAGAATCATTGGATCACTGTTGAGCTGTGTGTGTATGATGCTTTCAGTCAGCTGATTCTCACAATTCCGCCTGTGTGGCGTCATCTGGTGCATCAGATGATTGGCTTCCTGATCCGCACTGCCAATATTGACCAGAACGGTCTCCAGATCCACTATATGGAACAACGAGATCCCGATGGAATGTGTGGGTTTGCAAACCTATTTCGGCTCTTTCGACGTCTCAATATGGCTGTTGGACCCTTGGGAGATCCGCAGATTCGTATGCTATTGACTCATGATGCTGCAGACGATATCCAGCAGGTACGCAATGAAGCCAATCTCGAGTGGATTCGAGCCAACATTCCTGCCGAATTTTTGGACTTCACCATCAATGTTCGGAATTGGTTTTTGCTCAGAATCCTGGAGGGACGGTTCCCACTGCCCACCGTTGCCGCCGGAACTACACAAACAGATCAGGACATGCCGGATGCCCGCGCCAAACCATCGAAGGCTGAAGTTGCTGCCAAACAGGCATCATCCACTGCAAAAGCTGACCCATGGCTCACGGCAGATCCGTGGACAAAGAAACAAGCACGTCCGGTCCAATCGAAGTGGGAAGATTTGGTGATTCAAGAGCCACTACCATTCATCAACAAGGATGATGTTGCACTGACGCAGACTCACCGTCTTCAGCTTGGTCCTAGCCGTGGGGGAATTGTGTTGAGCACCAAAGCTCACCTTGCTGAAATCTCCAAGATTGTTGGCAGCGCTGATCTTGCCATCCTCATCCCAGCAACCGATGCTGGTGCATTGCCGCACATCACCAAGAGGCTCGAGGGCCCCTTTGAGGTGTCCTTGAATGACACCAAGGCCCAGACGGCATACAAACGACTTGTCCACATGATCGTGCTGTCAGGGTCGGTTCGGTTCCAACTCCCCAAAGCCAAGATCAAGGTGAAAACTCCATCCATTGCAGAGATCGTCCTGGAGATCGATTCGAGGCTTGTCACCAAGGCCGATTTCGACCGTCTGAAAGACTCACCCATCGCCTCGTTCCGACACCTTGTCCAGCAAGTTGCTCCACAGATTGACACAAGTTTTGTCCTGTACGGTTACCGACTGTCCAATCACCCTGGGGCCGCCAAGCAGGAGAGTCAGATGCAGTGTGTGCTCAAAGCCCCGCTGTTATGCAGAAAAGCACTGCTTGAAGCAAGCGGCACAACTGAGTTGTTGGTGCGCGATTACATGGAGAAAGGCAAAAGTACGGATGA